GTGATGTAATAAAACTGCAGCTCGTTAATAAACTTTTTTTTTTAACCCATTTTATACAATCCGCCTTCATTTAGCAAGTGCACTCGCGCAAACATTTTTTTCAAGTTCAACACTTTTTGTTCCGTTCAGTTGTGGATGCTGCTGATTCACCGAGACCGCCGCGGCTCAGCAAAGGGACGTGTGTGTGTGTGTGTGTGTGTTTTCCTTTGAAAAAGTTTCCCCAGAAATACTTCGCTATTTAATGTATTTTTCCTTACAAATTGTATTATCAGCATAACAATTCGAGTAAATGTGTAAAAGGTATGGCATGATGCCATCCTTCTAGAACAATGTGCATTTATGTTAAAATTGTAACAAATTATCAAGTTGTTATTTTTATCTCTTTATTGCAAAACGCTAAAACTGGCACCGTTTTGGAGAGAAATGGGCTCTCATTTTAACCCATATCATGGTGTGTGATGCTGAACTATGAGTTTCTCATGGTGTTTGTATTTGAACTGTCCTAAACATTAATATTTTATGTGCAACAACAGCATGCTGTCTCAGTGGCCTTACACATGATTTTAAATCTATTTTTTCAAACTTTATGATTTAAATGGGGATGATTGTACTGAGAATAACTTTCGTCTTTTCTTCAACTGAATACTGTTTCCGTGCTGTTTTGATGTATTTTAAAGAGTTTAAAACTGCTGGATGATAGATACTCTTCATTCTTTATGACAAATAAGATAATGTGAATTACAGAATGTACAACGTTTTTAAAATGTATCAATTGCAGTGTACAGCGTTTATTATGAGGGTAGAATCCACAGCTCAGTACTCACTACTCAATACTCAGGAGCACTTTTAAATAGGCTACTCCTTTACTCTTACTCAAGTAGTTTTTTGGACAAGTACTTTTACTCTACTCACACTATATTTTTTGGAAGGTAATGGTACTTTTACTTGAGTATATTTTTTCAGTACTCTTTCCACCACTGCCGATTAAGCTATTTTATTGATAAAATTGCGGGGAAGCGCTAAAAAGTTTGTCTAAAGAATGTCTGTGCGCACACACAGAGTGACCTGACTAAACGTGTGTGCGTGAGCTACAGTGAAGACAGCGCATTAGTTTATAACTCTTCTAATTATTTTTTAAACGTAGAGAGTGTGTTGATTTGTGCAATGATAACCTACCCGCAATGTTAAGATGATTTTAATATATTAGAATGAGTACATTACAATATAAATTTATTAGAACGAGTACATTATTATATATGGGCTTAAAAACAAGATGCAAACAATCAGAATATTGTAGGGTGGGGAGTGCACAATGTAAACATGAAACATATGCCATTACCTGTAGGCTATTGTACTGTGGTACAGTTATAGTGGCCCTTCATAATGCAAAGGTCAAGTGCCTGTTATGCCAATAGTTAGCAACGGCCCTATGGTATGCAGTGTTTAATAAACAGCTGTTTTACTAAATTCTTCTGAAGTGAAATTCAGTGCAGTCCTGTATCGTGATACGTATTGTAGCCTCTGTATCGTGATACGTATCGTATCGTCAATTTGCTGGTGATACACAGCCCTATTACCCATCATTTTAATTTCCATATGTTAATGATAACAAGACATTACTAGTTTTTTTTTTTCCACCTTGTCATTTTTAATCATGAACTTAAAGGACAAGTATATAGGCTAAATTATGCATTTATTTATCAAGAGTATGGATAAACAGACTCAAGAATGAACAGAACACTGTAACGTGCATCCCATCCAATAAATCGCAATAAGAAAACTAAATCACAATACTACTAGTTACACAGCACCAAATATATGAATGAACATCAGAAGGTACGTTGAAAGATTCAGTACACCTCCCATAACAAAATCCATATCATGTCTCAATCGATCAATCAGTCTTTCAATCTCTGAAAGACGTCAGTGAAACAGCTTGTAAACAATGTCACATAATGTTGTGTTAAGGTCAAATAGGAACCATGTTTTTAATTTTATATCTGCAACATAACTGAGCTTCCATACACAGGACGTGTTTTGCAGCGTGCACTGCACGCACACTGATACAGGAAGACATACTCACTCTAGAAAGAGTGTAAAAAGACAGCAAATGTATCCAAAAGTCTGCTCCATCTTAAAACAGGCTCTTTAAAACTACAGCATCATTAAAAACCACGATTAGTCGACTCTGGTCACGTTAGTAGCAAAGCAATGAACATAGTTTATGTGCTTATTACTATTATTATTATGGTAATCTGTAGGCAGCCCAAAAATATGAGTTTTTCATTGATCACAAGTTTTCGGCAAGAGCGCCATGCATTCAGATAACACCAAAGCCTCAAGGTTCTTACACCTTTTCCAAATTCAAATTCAAGCACTTTTCAAGCACTTTCAAGGTGCATTTTTCAGGCTTTTCCAGCACTTTAAACTGTGGTAAATTACATGTTTACACACGAACACACTTGAGTTTTTTTTTTGTTTACTTTAAATCAGATGTTATTGTGCTATTAAAAACCACCAGTCTGGACAGCATATAGCATTGCATAATATAAATAGCCAACTTACAGTATATAAGTTATATAACAAAAAAAGAAAGAAAGAAAGAAAGAATTTACAGGGTATCTGCAAGATTTTTAAAATAATATTTAAGGTTTTTTACCCTACAAAAATCAAATAAATACTGTATGAGTGGGGTAGGGCAATGTCTATTGTAACATTAAACCATAAAATGACTTCAAAAGACATGATTTGCAGTTCAAATACAGGTTTTCACAAATAGAAAGAGTTGTATAAATTGACAAACCTCAAATTAACAAGCCTCAGCCTTTAAATTTATTATTTTTTTTAAATAAAGAAGGAACAAGTCAAAAGTTTAAAGAATTTTCATTCTCAATAAGCCTGTCTGCTGTTTTTGTTCAGAACAAAAAGCTAATGTGCCTTCAAAAATCTAAAACATTTAGACAGTAAGATGTGTGTACTTTAAAATAATTATTTACACTTTTGACTCATCCCTTTCCTTTTTTTTCTTAAACATAGTTTAAAAGCTAAAATATGAGGTTCTGTCTCCACTCTTGGAAATGCATGAATACAGTGGTTTCTCCAGTAATGGCTGTACAAAAAATGCAGTGCTGGCTCACAAACGCTACTTTATCAGACATTAAACGTTAGTGAGATGAAACGATAATGCCATTGAAACTTCTCTCAAGGCAATCGATTCATGTCAGAGATGCATTGATATAAAAACACCCTTTTTTAACCATAATTTGTGTTTGTCATTTTCAAGCCAACGCTGACTGAAGCAGCAACCTCCTGACATGTTTTTATCTCCCGCTCTGCTCGTCAATACAGACAGACAGATAGCACACAGTATAGCCACAGTGGTTTCTCCAGTAATGGCTGTACAAAAAATGCAGTGCTGGCTCACAAACGCTACTTTATCAGACATTAAACGTTAGTGAGATGAAACGATAATGCCATTGAAACTTCTCTCAAGGCAATCGATTCATGTCAGAGATGCATTGATATAAAAACACCCTTTTTTAACCATAATTTGTGTTTGTCGTTTTCAAGCCAACGCTGACTGAAGCAGCAACCTCCTGACATGTTTTTATCTCCCGCTCTGCTCGTCAATACAGACAGACAGATAGCACACATTTTGTCTAGAAAGTGAACTAACGTTATTCAGTAAAGCAAATTATTATAAAAACCAATGCAATTGCAATTTTGAGCAGTTTCAAACACTTTTTCCAAAATGCAAACACTTTTCAAACCTTGAAAACACTACGTTAAAATTCAAGCATTTCAAGCTTGAAACAACCAAGCATTTCAAGCACCCATACGAACCCTGAAGCCTGTAAATTTCTTCTTGAGAAAAAAATAAGATGTTCTTAAGAAAATATTAAATTGAACCTAGGAAGTTCTTACAAACTTCTAAGAATTCTCAAGCATTTCAAGCTTGAAACAACCAAGCATTTCAAGCACCCATACGAACCCTGAAGCCTGTAAATTTCTTCTTGAGAAAAAATAAGATGTTCTTAAGAAAATATTAAATTGAACCTAGGAAGTTCTTACAAACTTCTAAGAATTTAGCATAAGAAATCTCTTAACTTCTTTCTTAAAGGGTTAGTTCACCCAAAAATAAAAATTCTGTCATTAAGTACTCACCCTCTTGTCATTACAAACCCGTAAGACCTAAGTTCATCTTCGGAAAACAAATTAAGATATTTTTGATGAATTCTGAGAGCTCTCTGACCCTCCCATAGACAGCAATGTAATTACCACGATCAAGGTCCAGAAACGTAGCAAGGGGATCGGTAAAATAATCCATGTGACATCAGGGGTTCAACCATAATTTTACAAAGCTACGAGAATACTTTTTGTACGGATTTAGAACGACATGAGGGTGAGTAATTAATGACAGAATTTTAATTTTTGGGTGAACTAACCCTTTAAGATTATCATGAATCTGGCCCCTGATGAACTAATGGTCAAAGTTATCAGATAAATGTTAGTTAGTAGCCTCCATCCATTGATTTTCCTCATATCTTCTGGTACTGTCACATGTAGCAACCGTGAAGCATGTACAAATCACACTAACAGTGTCTGTTTATGTTTTGTCACAGGGTGACATTAGATCATCTTCTTGAGTAACCAATGTCGGATGAACACAATCACCTACGTCTGACTGCACAATATGAGTTTATCCCTCCAGAAGATGGACACAGACAGTATTTGTAATATTGAGACTAAATTAATGCTGTCGTCTGTGGACATTTCTGTGTGTCTGAGTGTGTGCAGCTCAACACATGTTGTGGAGCTTAATGTTGGTTACTGTGTTAATGTGGCTTGTGTGTCTGTTGAAGAAAATATCACAGATCACAGAGAAAAAATACATAGAAACTGCACAGACCCACATTAATTGCATGTAAATCACCCTAAATGCCCTAGCAAACACACAGGAATATGCTATGCAATCACCACCAACACTCTAGCAACCTCATGGTAACACGCAGCAATGTCTAGTCAACCAGGGACGTGCCAGTATATTAAAAGCAGACTAGTCAGTGGGTTCATGAAAGCACTGTATAATTAGGCTTGATCCTGGATATGACTCATTGTTTAGGAGGTGTTTAATAGTGATGCACTAAAATATAACTCTTTAGGCAAAACCAAAAACTCTGGACCATCTGGATCAAAGCAAAAAAAAAAATGTAATTGCAATAGTTTTCTTCAAATAATGTGACTTCTCAATTAAACACTTCAACGATATGTATTCTGTAATACTGACTTTACACAAACTTTTAAATGGAAGTCTTGTTGATTTCATACAAGCATGTCTGTATAATATATGATATCTGTACAACTATATTTTCACCATAATATGTTAATATTGCTAGTGTTCCATAAGACACGCTCATAATTTTCCAGATTTCTCAATGTGCATCTCATCACACATCAGTTCTGGTGAGCATCTAATCAACTGAAAACATCTCAATCTTCCTTTACATTCAGTATAATTTTTTGTTATTCAACTGGTTAAATTTGCAGTTTTTTATTTTTAATTAATTTTTTCAGTGGCCCAAATTAGGGGTGCTCCGATTGATCGGCTACCGATCACTATCGGCCGATAATCGCTTTGGGATGTTTGATCGGCTGATGACACGTGCCTGCCGTGAGAGGTGTGGCACGACATGCAGTGGCACCGTCTCAGTCTCTGTCCGGCGCGGGTGAAATAATTATTACGCTGAAGGTGAGGTGCAACTCCTATTTCTTCATTAAATAACTCTTAAAGTAATTTGAAAACCTTCTGTGGGACATAATTTCACAAACAGCGTGAGTGAATCACCGCGCGCGCTCTTTCCCTCTCAAAATGGGGTCTTCAGATACATTTTTAAAAAAAATCTAGTTTTTTTTAACTGCACAAAAAATTTAAGTCTTTTAATTTGAGTGTTGAGACCCTGAAAAAGGATGCAAAACAAGCACAATGGTCAAACTGTCTGTCTAGCACATATTTACATAGGAAAACAATGGAAAATCAGTGCAGTTGAGTGCAAAACTTGTTCTGTGCTAATGGCCCCTAACGGTGCAAACTGTCTGCCAGTTTAAGCTCAGCACACTAACCATAAATCAAATATTAAAACATATATAAACTGGTTAACTGTTAGATAAAGGTTAGTTGACAATCACAAACCCTTACTATACTGGTCATTATTTACATTTATTTATTAGACCGACACTATCTAGTGCAGCTTTACAATGCAGCCATGGTCTATCAGCATGTGAGTTCTCTAGGAACTGAACCCATGACCATAGCGTTTCGAGCACCATGCTTAACTAGTGGGCTACAAGAACCATCCACAACACCCAAGCATCACGGCAAACAGCTTGACACTAAATTGTAATAAATATGGATGGAGGAGCTGTGATGAAATGTAAGACATGATTCTCTGCTGGCACATAAACATCCTCATTATTAGCCTAGCTTTGAACATCTGCAGGAACAGGCCTGAGGTTCTTCAGATCCGTCTGAAAGCCTCCACCAATAACAGCACTTAGGATCTGCTGTGTTCTCATGTGTATTCTTAAAGGGGTCATATGATGCTTTTTTAAAGATCATTATTTTGTGTTATTTGGTGTAACAGAATATGTTGACATGCTTTAATGTTCAAAAAACACATTATTTTTCAAATACTGTCCGTTATTGTAAGTCCTTTATGCCCCGTCTCTCTCAAACGCTTCATTTTCTACAAAGTCCCTCCTTCCGACAAGCGCAGTCTGCTCTGATTGGCCAGCTGACCCAGTGCATTGTGATTGGCCGAACACCGCAAGCACTCTTCGGAAATGTAACGCCCCTTCCCATAATCGCAAGCTTCATCTTTCAAAATAAATGTAAAGACAGAACCAGGAAGGGGAACAGAGTCACGTGACAGACACAGTGATGAAGCTGGTATGTGTTTGTGATGTGACCCCCCGCCTCTCTCTCTCTCTCTCTCTCGCTCTCTCTCTCTCACACACACACGATGCGCAAAACTCTGCATTTGAACAGTCAATAGCAAATACTTAAACTAATAACAAAACAGTAGCTGATTCAGAAGAGCCAGATTGTCATAGCAAAGTCAGAATGACCTCCTCTCCTAGGTTCACGAAACGGTCGTCCATAAAATGCATTGCTGTTCTGTTGTAAGTAATCTTAAAGATTCCTAAATGCATCTACTTTCGGAAGGCCAAATAAAGTGCTTTTGCTTTCGCCTAGAAACACACAGCGTCTCCCTGACATGCTGCTTCAACACTAACTGCGGTTACTGAAACCACGCCTTCTTTCTTTGCATGAACATTTGGGCGGCATTATGAAAATATTTCCACATAGTGAGGTAGATATGTGGGGGCGTATTAGAACGAGCCGGTTTAGGGGGGCGTGGCAGAGTCTTAACTTTGATAAAGAATATCTCTTTGGTTTTAAGACTTTAGTCTTTGCAACTTCAGGGATCTTATCTATGCACAATCAGCTTGCAACACTCC